TTACTCACTAATTTTTGAATTTAAATATTTTAGTAGTCTTCAAATGAAGCGTCTCTCTAAAAAACAATTATATTAAAAATATTATAAACTTGAAAATTCTTGTTATACAGTGACTATTATTTAAATAAGTAAATATGTGATGGGAAAAAAAAATTAAAAAATAATAAAAACCATCTTGAGTCCTTGACTTGTTATGGAATACGGTCCGAGTTCGAGTCCCGGTCTGTCCGAATTATTTTTTTCGGTTTTTCATTCATTATCCATCAGAAAACTCCGATAAAACTCGCAAAATACTCTTGGAAAGCTCCACAAAAACTCGGTGAAGACGCCGACTAAACTTGACAAAAAATCCGAAAAAACACCGATAAAACTCGGGGAAAACTTCATGAGAACACCAGCGGAATTCCAACCAAACACCGTAACGATCTCAATTAATCACCAATTAACCACTATTGTCTTCATGTGTCACAACTGCACACAATACTCCGAGTTTACTCCCCATATACGCCGACTATACTCCGTCGTTACGCTGAGTTTCGGACGAGTTTTTACAGAGTTCTATCGGTGGCACCGAAACCGCTAGGGTTATAAAAATTGCTCTAATATACAATTACTCACATTTTTACTGCATTGACGCTCTAAATCAATGCAATCCTTAATAAATATTTTTAGTATTACCACGCTTAAATTTTTACAAAAAAAATTGACAGTTTTAGCTTCATCGACGCTCAAAATCAATGTAATTTTTTTTTTATCGTCACAACAATTTTTAACTGCAAAATTTCTTATAAATCTTATTATTACAGGTATAACAATAGACAATTTCGACGATTGCAACACTCCAGCTCTAAATTACCAAATAAGCCAAATGGTAATTGCAAACAACGATCACTGCAACCCTGGACACTACTTAACAGGAGACTACGCTGCTTGTCATCCAGGGATCGACTTTGGAGGTGGCGAAGTAGGAGGTGACCTCGGATTTGGCGGTGATATGGGAGGCTGCGATTAATTGATAATAATTATAATAACGCGATTAATATCGTCCCAATTAATTAATAAGTATAAGCTACCGATCAATTATTTTTTTAATATTATTACAGTACAAATTATTATTTATAAACTGATTTTTAAAAGCAAATATTATATTAATTTGTATTAAACATATTCTAAGCCATAATTAATAATTGATATATGTATATATATATATAAATATATTTTGATGTTTGTAACGTGATTTTCTAAAAAAAAAAAAAAATAAAAAATTAGTACTTACAATGATTGAAAATTTTTTTGAATGCAGTTTTATTTTTTTTGTTGAAGTAATTATTGTCATTAGTAATTAGAGATGAACTTGGTATCTATGAAATTTGTTAATATCGGTTTTAGATTGTCGTTTGACGTCAATAGAAGTTTCTTATCAATTTATAATTGGGAATTTCAACGGTAAAAAAAATTTAAATCTTTTTTTAAATCACCGCACTGGAGTTCGGATGTTTTAAATTATTTAATAAAAATGTGGTGCCAAAAATGCATCATATTGTTAGTTTTGACAGTGGGATCAATTACTACAATTTGTGGGATTTTTTTGGTCGTAGCAGGTTGTTGTTTTTATTCTAGAGGTTCTTTTGGTAGAAAAAATTTTTCTTCGCAAGAAACTATTCAAATTGAGATTAAAAAGGTATTTTTTTTATTTTTTATTCATTAAATAAATTATTTTAGATTATTTTAGAGTTCAATTGAAATTTTAAGTGTCTTTGTATAAAAAATGAGGTTTTTAGATTGAATTAATGTTCGAAATCAATGTTTAAATTGATGGAAATTTTTTGTCTTAATATTGAGGTACAATTTGAATTTTGAGTGTCTTTGTACAAAAAATGAGATTTTTAGACTGCATTGACGCTCAGAATTAATGGAATTTTTAGTCAAAACTGTTATCAGAAAAATTTTTGATTATTAATGCGTTAAAATTCCAATCAAAAGTGTCTCTAAGAAATAGTTGAATATATTTGAACTTAATATAAATAACATCGCGGTAAAGTAGGAATTTTAAGTGTCCTTGTACGAAAAATTACATTTTAAAACTACATTGACACCAAAAATCAATGTTTCGATAAGTCAAAATTTTTTTTGTATTATTAATGCGGTAAAATTTGAATTTTGAGTGCCTTGGTACGAAAAATGACTTTTTGAGACTGCATTGACGCTCAAAATCGATGTTTAAATTGATCGAGATTTTTTTGACTTAATATTGCGGTAAATTTGAATTTTGAGTGTCTCTGTATGACAAATAAGATTTTTAGACTGCATTGTCGCCCAAAATCAATGTAATTCTTAATCAATTGCATTTTCTTATTTAGTGTCTCAAAATTTCTAATTAAAATGCCTCTAAGAAAAATGACATTTTTACATTGCATTGATGCTGAAAATCAATGTAATTTTCGTCAGTGTTTTAATCGATCGTATAATTTATTTATATTGCAATGAAATAAAAATTTTGATTCATATTGCACGAAAAATTACATTTAAAAATTGCATTGATAACCAAAATCAATGTAATTTTTAGTCTATGCCTTAATTAATATCATTTTTAGCAATATTGCGTTAAAATTTTTAATGGAAGGTACAATTACAAAGAACGACATTTTACTGCAATGACATTCAAAATCAATGCATTGATTTTTTTTTAATTTATCAGGTTCTATTCAACCAATTTCCATGAAATTTTGATATATTGTTCCGCCTAAAACAAACAATAATATTGACATCAATAATAATAATAATAACTAGCAACCTTGCAGTCACTACGTGACTGCCTTGACTAATTGTGAACTATAAACAAATAAAATTTTGTTTTATTAAATAATGACTTTTGTTAAATTGCACTGTACTTTCTTAACTATTGACATTTTTAAAGATATAAGCTCATCCCGATGTTACACTCATCAAGAGCTTTCATTTGAGTACCCACATGCATTTTCATATATTTTTCATATATACATATATATAAATATATAAATATATGAAAAATTGATGTGGGTACTCAAATGAAAGGTCTCGTTGAGTGTAATGTCGTGGTGAGCTTATATCTTTAAAAATGTCAATAATTTAGAAATTATATTGTATTTTGCCAACTTATAATATTTTTAAAGATATAAACTCACCATGGTGTTATACTGATCAAGAGCTTTTATTTGAGTACCCACTTGCATTTTTGATATATTTTTCATATATACATATATATAATATATATAAATATATAAAATATATGGAAAATTGATGTGGGTACTCAAATGAAAGGTCTCGATGAGTGCAATGTCGGGGTGAGCTTATATCTTTAAAAATGTCAATAGTTCACAAGATACAAGGTCATTTCTTAATTATGTATCTAGAGATAGAGTATTTTCGAATGCAGCCGAAATACTTATTACAATAAATTGACTATCGGTGAAAATTATATAAAACTTTAAAAAGGCACAAATTCAAGTCAAGATCTTTGCAAGGATACTAATTTTTTACTAAATAAAACAATTTTATCATTGTGACTATCCTGAATACAAAATTTTTCTTATTCTCTTGATAATATAGATAATAAAATTAATAATAATAATAAAATTTTTTTCAGCCAGAAGATCTTGAAGAAATAGTATGAATAAATTCCACAAAATTTATTCATTTGTGATCTCTAACTAAATCCATCAGCAAACAAAACTACTGTACTGAAAAATCTAAATAAACCTTCAGAAAAATCTAAAATTAAATTTTACTTTAATCCCTAGAATTAACAAACTATATTATCAAGCCGGAAATAATTAAAATTTTTGGTCAGCAAGCTTACTCATAATATTTTAATTCTCAAAATTCACGTCCTACTGATTCAGCTCGAGTGCGTGGTCATCAATTGTTCTTGAACATCACACCTGACAGGTTGTTAGTCTATTGTATATCTGCCAACAGTTTAATCACTCATAAACTTTGTTAATGTTATATTTATATAATTAATAAATAATTGAAAAATGGATTGGCGCAACTTTTTGTACCCACTGGCTACTCTCCTGATCTGCTTTATCTTTGCAAGAGTTTTTATCTTTCTTTACAGTCTCATGATGGCCGCTCATCAACCAGCAAAACGATCTCCATGAGTTGTCCAGGTAAGTTTTTTTCTTTTATTTTAATTAAGATTTATTTGATTGATTAATTTATTAAAATTTGATATTTTGCGTACAATTTTTTTCAATTAATTAATTTTCTAAAAATCAATTTTTGTTATTAGTTATAATTACCTATTCTAATTTTTCAGAATAGTAAAATTTAATTTTTTGCGTTCAATTTTTTTATTTTTAATTACTTAATTTATTTTTAATAATTTGAATTATCTACTGAAATTTTTCATGACTAAAATTTGATTTTTTTGTCCAATTTTTATTTAATTAATCAATTTTCTAAAAATTAAATTTTTTTATAATTTTTTATGACAGTATAATTTAATTTTTTGTGTCCAATTTTTTTTTAATTTATCAAAAATTAATTTTTGTAAAAAATTGCAATTATCTATTACAATTTTTTATAAGAATAAAATTTGACTTTTTACGTTCAATTTTTTTTTTTCAGTCACAACCAGCCTCGGACGCCTGAAATAAATTTCAATTATTAATTAAAATTTATAAAAACAATAAAACTAAAAATTATAATTTAAAAACAAATAATCATTTATAAAAAAAATGATTATTTTTTTGTAATTAATAAAATTTAATTTTCTTCATGGCAATTTTAGTGAATTTTTTTAAAACTTACATTCAATAAATTTTTTGAGTTTTTTTTTTAATTATGAATTAGACTTAAATTTCAATTATTGTCAACTTTATTATATTTTGGGAATGTATATAACTTTTTTTTTATGATTATAATTATAATTAATGATGATAACTTTATAAGAATAGTCTTGAAAAAAAAAAAAAAAATTAAATGATGTCGTGGTGATTGCAAAAAATCTCAGTAGTTTAAGCGGGGATTATTTCAGTTTTTTCGTCCTTGGTGATCAATTGCAGAAGGCTTCCTGATTTTGGACGTTCAATCTTGTTTGCCCACTTCCAGAACATCCTGAAATAAAGGTATGTATTCATAATATATAATTAACAAAAAAAAATCTCAAATTTATAGAGAAAAATTGTTTTAGAGAAATTTTTTCTTGAAGTTTAAAAGCTGATCTTATGATTTTTTTTACCAAAGTAGTGAATATCCGAAAGAAATAGGTCTCAAAAGTTGTGTTGGTAAAAAAATGACATTTTTAGACTACATTGACGCTCAAAGTCCATGCAGTTCTTAATCAAAACTCCTATTATTATTAGCAAATAGGATTACTAACATAATAACATTAAAATTTAAATCAAAAGTATCTATACGAAAAATAAAATTCTTAGACTACATTGACTTTGAAAATCAATGCAGTGATTTTTTTTTACAAAAATCTTAATTAGTGATAATTATGACTTATGACTAATTCAGTTTTAGAATACTTTCATCCTAAAAATGGCATTTTTATACTGCATTGACTTTCAAAATCAATGCACTGTTTTTTTTTTACAAATAACTCATGTACTGTTAATTGTGAATAATTTATTTTTTATAGTTCAAATTTAAAGTATCACACTAAAAACAATGTTATTATACTGCATTGACTCTCAAAATCAGTGCACTGTTGCACTGTTTTTATAATGAAAATCAATATTGGTAATTATTGTCACCAATTTTTAATTGAATTTATCTCTGGTTATAGGTGGTCAATCGACTTCAAATTTTTAGGAAAATTGTATCATCATGTCTTTAATAAGTATACAAAAATTTAGAATTTTCTGACGGTATACCTTAACCACGACAACTACCTTAACCCCTGACAAGCACACTGGGTAAAAAGTACCCACCCCAAAATTGTATTTCGTTATAATTATTTGTGTATATTTAAACTTCGATAGTATTTTTATCTATTTTAATTGGCACTAATTAATTTAATATTATATGGGTGATTCTCTGTAAGGATGTTTTTTGCTGTCCCAGGCATTGTTTTATTAGAAAAATTGTTATTTTGTTACTAAAAAAAATTTATTATGAAAGCAAAAAAACATTTCTATTTGGAGCATTGAAAATTGAAATGAAATAAATTTTTCTGCCCTCCGGCCGGAAAGTGGCAACTTTCTGGCCGCTGCGCTAAACAAAGTTGCCACATTCCGGCTACGTCGAGCAGAAAAATAGTATACACACCTTGGCCAGTAAAAAGTAAAGCCTCAGACCACATGTTTGTCAACCTCGGCTTCGCCTCGGCCAACAATTACATGTGGTCTAAGACTTTTCTTATTTTACTGGCCTAGGTATGTAATATACTATTGGCCGTGTTACAACGTAATGTTCGGTACTTTATTAATTTACACCGTTTATTAAAGAATAACGGCATTTTAAACTATAATAGTACGATACGACTCTCCCAAAATTAAACCTTTAAGATTAAATTTTAAGTTATTCGTCCATAATATATAATTAGGTCGATAATGTTTATAAATTTAATTAGTTAACTAACAATCTTCTTCAATGAAAAGTACTGAAAATTAATTTGTTTTATTAATTTCATCAAATCGAAGTCTGTCCCAGGCATTTTAAGTATAGTCCCCTGCCAGAAGTTCAAAGCCAAAAATAAAAAAATCCAGCGTGTTATTTTACCTTTTGTAAAGTTTATAAGGATCTAACTAGCCTTAAGTTAATAACCATAGGGCTGTTAGCGCTTTATCGCCATTTTATTTAGTGTCAAAGCACCGTTTGTGCTGGAAATATGTGTCTGGACCACTACAAAACTCAGTCCCCTGGCAACTATTTTTATATGTAATTTATTTATAAAAATGGATCTATAAGTCTTAATATTATTCTAATTAATGTAAACATTCATTGAGAACTTAAAAAACTGAATGCATTGAAATAGTTTGCTTGATTTTTCTCAATTTGATAAGAAAAAAAACAGTCCCCTGGCAACAGTCCCCTGGAACAGTCCCCTGTCATGTTACATGGCACAAGATACACAAATATCGAAAAAGCAAAAATTAATTCGGCTGTTTATTTATTATGATTAAGTTAATAGTTTTGTAGCCCTTGTTAATTTTTTTTCTAATAAAATCAAAAATAATTTAGTCGGACAACTTTGTATAGATTTAAGACGCCCTTACAGAGAATCACCCATATCTATTTTATAGAGAATTTTTTGAGCTTTGATTTAAAAAAAAAAAAAACCAAATTCTCTAACTTTATTAGGGACCAAGATATTTGAAAATAAAATATGTTGGGTATTTTTCACCCTCAATGCCTAAAGAGGTATACGATTTAGATAATAACACCATTTAGACAAAAAAAAAATCAACATACTCTGACACGAACTCCAATGGTGTCCAAGAAGTAGTATCAGCCTTGGCCATCCACTTTCGATTCATCGGAGTGTCCAAAGTGACCGGCAAAATAGAGACGACCATGGCCTCCTTAGGTAGACCGCTGTTTTCGTCAGCCAAGGACTTGGTGAGCTGGTGAACAGCAGCCTTGGCCATTCCGTATCCGATCATCCCAGGAGTCCCTTCTAGAGCAGCCTTGGCGCCAGTCAAAGACAGGAACCCTCCTTCCTTCAAGTAGTGAACAGCTATGCTACTAGCAATCGTCGAGCTCCAGACACTCTGCTTCCACATCAGCTCACTATTCTCCAGGAAGTCTTTGTGGGCCGCGTTTCCTCCGGCCCAACCTCCAGCCACGCAGATTATCCCGTCTAATTTTTCATCCTTGAGGATTTCTTTCATCTGGGAAATTATTGCTGTCTCTTGCTCCTTCCAAGTGTGGCTGCTGTTTACTACTATGTTCGCGTCTGCTGACTCATTTTCTTTCATGTCGATGTTTCCGACCCACTGAAAATTTAAAAAATTTATTAAGAAATTTTTGAAAGAAAAAGTTTTTAATTTTTTTTTTTTAAATAAAAATCAATGAAACTTTTAATCATTTTAAATAATAAATACTTATTAAATTTTAATGTAAATTATTAGAAACAAATTTATATTACTTAATTTTTTAACAAATTAATAATTATATCAAAAATAATTATTGAATTAATCATTTTATTGTATTAAATTATAATTAAATTTTAGTGTAAAATATCGAGAAAAAAATTTACCAATAATTGTTTGAAATTTCGACGTTTTTTTTTTTTAATAAAAATTAACAGACATTTTTTTATTTTTTTATTTTCAACAAAATGATTTATTTTAATAAAAATAAAAAGAAATTTATTAAAAAAATTATTGATGCGATTTTTGATAAAAAAAAAAAATATTTTTTTTTTCAATGTCAATTAAAAATTTTGAATTTGTTTGAATAAATATTTCTTTAATTTTACCAAATTATTTTTCAAAATTTGTATTTTTTATTTATTAAAATTTTCTACGTTGATTTTTTTTTCTGACGTATTTAACTTTTTAACAAATATTTAAATAATATATTTTAATATTTTTTTAGACATTTTTTTATTTTAAAATTTTTAGCAATTAAATTATTTATATCAAAAAATTAACTCAAGAATTTTATTGAGACAATTTCTTAGAAATAAAAAAATCAAAATTAATTTGATAAATTGTAAAAAATAAAAATTTCTTAACGTAACTTTACAAAATTTATTCTATAAAGTTAAAAAATAAAAAAATATTTTTTATTAAAAAAAATATTTTTTTCTGTCATATTTTACGGCCCAATTTAAAAAAAATAAAAAATTTCAACAGCTGTTTTAAAAACTCTTGCTAAAAATTTAATTTTATTAACACAATAATAAATAAATTAAATTACTAGTACTGTTAATTAATATTGAAATAAAAGTTAAAATAATAATTACCCATTTTTTGGCCTTAAATTGACTGACACACACAGATCCAAGAGCTCCTTTTCCTCCGTAAATAAAAACACGTCCCAAAACGTTGGATGCCATTGCGACTTTCTTACTGCTGAGAATAAAAGTATCAATAAAATAGTCAGAAAAGATATATAATTCTATTTATATATGTATTTAATCAATCTACTTACATTTCAGATAAATTATTGTGCAATTAGACAGAAACGGGTTATTATTATTTTTATTTAATGTTTGCCGGCTAGTAGAATGGATTCCTTTCACTTGTTGAGTATCAATACAAGTACTGAGTTATGACAGTTTAGTTATGTTGTTGTTTTTTAATCTGTTGCGCCATCTTAGAAATGTCAGCTGACTAGACGCCTCAAAAAAAAATTTTTGAAATTTTTTCAAGTAAAAAATTGTTAAAGTTACCAAAAAAATTTTGATACCACTTGGATGATTTTGATGATGTTAAAAAATTTTGTTTTAGAATTTTACTTAAGAATTATTTTAAAAATTTTGAATTTATTAAAAATTTTGGAATGTAAAAAATTTTTTTCTCTATTTAAAACTTTAAGTTATTGAATTTTAAATTAATCAATCTTTTAGTTAAAATTAAATTTTTGGACTGCATTGACACTCAAAATCAATGCGTTGATTTTTTTAATATATCCTAACTAGCAATAAATATAATTTGCGTAGCATCAAAATTCAAATAAAAAGTATTTTATTAACAAAAATTACTTCATTCAATGCATTGACACTCAAAATCAATACAACATTAAATTTAGTAGTCACCACACAATTTTTAAATTTTTATTTAACAAACAAATTTTTTCCAAAAATTTATTTTTAAAAAATTTTATTTTTAATTTTTTAAAATTTCTACATGCCAGTTTTTTTTATAATTTTTTTTTGTCATAATTTATTTGTTAAAAAAATACATAAAATGATCAAATATCTGAAAAATTAATTTTCATAAAATCAATGCACCCTCGTCAATATCCTAATAAGCAATAACTGTGACTACCATAACAATAAAGATAATATAAATATTATTTTATTTTATTTTATAAAATAACCTTTTACTGCGTTGCCACTCAAAATTAATGCACCCTCATCAATATCCTAATTCACAATAATGTTAATTTTTTTAGATTAATAATCAAATAAAAAGTATCTTCTTTCTTAAAAATGATTTTTTAAATTATGAAAATTAATTTAGCAGATATTTAATAATTTTTAGAACTTTTGTTAACAAATAAATGATGGCAAAAAAATAAGAAAAAAAAAATTGACTTATAGAAATTAAAAAAAATTAAAAATTCAATTATTTTAAATAATTTATTAGAATTAATTTAATTATTAAATAAAATTAAAAATTAGTCAAGTGACAGCTGACTTTAATATCATTTTTAAATTACATTGACATTCAAAATCAACGCACGTTTAAAAACCCCTTTTAAAATAATTCAAATTTATCCGCGCTTTTTCACCATTTAAATCCCCTGCTGGCTTCTGTAAAACCCTTCAAAATGGCTTCCTCCCCTCTCTCATTCGGCGTGAACAGAGCAAAGAGAGTGTCGTGACATCAGAAACTTAAAATTAAAGAGCTCCGTGATATTAGCCTAGTTGGGTTAGGTTTTTATCTCGAGCGAATTTATTCTCATTACATGTTCATGTAGAAAAATTTATTTAGTGCGGTTAATAAAATTCTAAATGTCACGTTACTCTTAAATTTTGTGTAACAAGTTTATTTGTCACCCACCGCTCGCTCGTCTATTAATAATCAATCGCCAATCATCCCAACTAAACCAGCTACTCGACATTGGTGATCCCACTGCTAATGCAAATATACTGTGTTAATTTCACATTCTCAATATTTATTTATTAATATTAATTTTTACTCTAATAATCATAATAATAACAATAAAAAAAAAATTATTTTTCAAATTATCAATTTAAATTTACAATAATAATAATATTAATATTAATTATTTTACTAATAAAAAATTAATTATTTTTTTTTTATTATTATTATTTTTTTTTTTTATTGATAGCTAGTGAAGGTTTTTTTTTTTAAATAAATATTCAAGTGACCCAAGTTTACGCATTTATATTGTATGTGATATTACACACGAAAAATAATGAGTCGACATGAAGGTATGTACCTAATTTACTTATATATATGTATTAATCTATTATTACATATATATATGTATATATATATATCCACGTACACATACATATATATATGAGAATTTTTTTATCTATCAATACTAATTAAAATTCTCCATTTTCAATTTCTTCTAAAATTCTTCTGAAAAAAACAAATTATTAATTATAAAAAAAAAAATTCTAATAAATTGTTTAAAAAATTTCAGGTTGGTTGGCTTAGAATATATCTGAATTAAAAAAAAAAAAAAATTATAAATAAATTAAACTTTGACATTTGGAAAAAAAAGAAGAAATAATTTTTAGTTTTGAAATCTAAAATTATGGAGTGAAAAATTGCATAATTTTTAGTTGTGGGGATTATAAGTTTTGAAAGGAAAAATATAATTATGTGATGATGATGTTCTGAAGCTAAGAGACAATTGATTTTCTTTATAAACGTCCTTATGATATTTATAGACTTTATTTATATTTCTGGGATTTATTGTTTGGTTGTTTGTAATTTAAATGGAGGCTTTTTTGTGGTTATGTCTGATTGTGAGCGAGGAATTTAAATGGTGGTGATGTTACTTGCTTATATTTAGTTGGATCAGTTTTTTTTGTTGGTGTTGAGAAATTTTGGGAAGTGTTTTTTTTTGTGAAGGAAAGTTAGAAAATTATTTTTGATGGGAAGGTTTAGAAAATTAGGCAATTTTTTTATGGATAGATTAGTTTTTAATTATTTATTTAATTTTAAAATTTAAATGTTAAATTGTAAAAATTTAATTGAGACATTTAACTTTGTGATTTTTAGGAAATTAGTTGTAGCAAAAAAAAATTTATTTTTTGAAATTTCCTATTTAGAAGCTTTGAAAAATTATAAACGCAGTTTTTTTTTAATAATTTTCTAGGCTTCGTTTATTATTTAAGAAAAATTTTCAAGTGTCAAAATTTATGTCAAAAATTTATTAGATTTTTTTTTTTGAAAAATTTTTTAGATCTGGAAAATTTTAAAATAATTTTATGATTAAAAAAAATACGTTTCAAAATTTTTATTTTTTTTTTTTTATATTTTTGTTACCCATAAGAAAATTATTTCTTATAAATTATTAAAAAAAAAAATTTTATGTTACTAATTAATAAAAAAAATTAACAAAATTTGAAATTGCAAATGAAAATTTGAGAATTTAGTCTTGATTTAAAAAAAAAATTTTTTTAAATTTATTTTTACAATTAAATAAATCAATATTCATCAGTAAAAATTTTATTAAAGATAGATTAGTTAACAAAACAATTAAATGTTAAATATTATAAATCATTAAATAATTATTATTAGAAATTTTTTTTGTTAAAATAAATGTATGACTAAACTTCTTTACAAAATATTCTTAACTACTATTTATTAATAATTAATTATATTTTTCAGGAGTAAGTTGCGACTCCTGTTTAAAAGGAAACTTTCGGGGTCGCAGATACAAGTGCCTAGTGTGCTACGATTATGATTTATGTGCTAGCTGCTATGAAGCTGGAGCGACAACAACGCGGCACTTATCAGATCACCCAATGCAATGCATATTAACAAGAACTGATTTTGGTAATTATCCAGTATCAAACTTGTTCAATAAATTTTTCTTCCAACAAATTTTAATTTCTTTTTTTTTTTTATTAATTACAGAACTTTATTACGGCGGTGAAGGTGTAAGTGTCGAGCAACCTCAGTCGCTGACTTGTCCCTACTGTACCAAAATGGGGTTCACCGAAGCAACTTTACAGGAACATGTAGCATCTGATCACCCGGACACTACATTTGAAGTGGTCAGTATCTAATTTCTGGATCGTTAAGGTAGTACTACCGGTTTTAGAATTTGATGAAACTTGGCATATAGGTACATAATAATATAAGGCATTTCATAGTAGCTGGTGGAACATTTGACTCTGGAATTCCATCGATTATAAGCTATAATTATGTGACTAAAACTTATTCTATAGTCAAATTTATCTTATAATAATATAGAAGAATAACTAATTAACAACATCCCTTTGTCAAAAACCTCGATTAGTTTTTAAGTTTCTCGTAATTATCATTTGACTGAGTGTGACTGGTGGAACATCGAAAAATCCTTCTCTCTTACTGCGGTATACTTAAAGTCGAATTTCAGTTCGACCACTAAACTTTTAAAAAATACTTCCCTCTCAATACAAAATTTATCCTACAAACATTCAATATTATGAAGAATTAGACTGATTACATAGGTAGAAACAATTAAAAAATTTTTTTTTATTGCGACTGGTGGGACAAGTACAAAATTTGTACATCAAGTTGTTTATTAAAAAGAATTTTATATTATTTCAACCTTAGGAACATTATTGTTTGTATATTTAACTATAAATTATTTAGGATAATTGAAAAAAAAATAATTAAAAAACACAAATAAAGGATTTAGCATGCTGACAACACGATCTTCATAAACTTAGGTGTTAATTAATAATGAACATAAAAAAATTTGTTCTTAAAACTATTAAAACAACATTTGTCCCGAATACAAGTTAGTACGGCTGAAAAGTTATTAGGAGAAAAAAATTGATTTTCTTATTGATTAAAAAAAATTTTCTTTACTAATTAGTAAAATATAGACTTTTCATAATAAATTATAACGAATTAAAGAAATTTTTTCATTTTAGTAATTTTCCCATTTCACATGAAATGCCCCATATCTTAATTAACCACTTAAATTTTTGGAGGCCTACCGAGAACTGAAAAAAAAGATATTAATATTTACATATTTTTGCCTTTACCATTGATCCTTATGGAAAATTACAGAGTTTATTTTATTTTACAAAACTGGATATTCAGATTCTTATAAAAATTAAGACAGCGAGAGAAAATAACATCTAGAACATATTTAATAACAATCAGTATGGTTTCCGAGAATATGAGAATATTTGTTAATAAAAAACATTCAAAATTTATCTCTGTCTCTCTTTCTCCAACGCCATTTAGTATAGGGAAATCTACTGCGTTGATCAAATAAGGTTAGGTCTTGGAATTTGACTCTTGTGGTAACGGTAGTACTACCTTAATTTGATATAATTCTTTTTTTATTGAACTGATACCACTTAGAGGAACACACCTACAAAAAATCATCAAGTAAATCCTGATAGTTAATTAATAATCGACAAAAAAATCTTAAAACTGGGACTAAAAACTCCGCCGCCATTAAACATGAGCATTAACAGTGATAGAATAAAGTTAGCGACATCTTACTTGAAATTTAAAATTAGGCGCGAAATTTGAATTTAAATAAGTTTTTGTTTTATTTAAAAATTTTTGCTAATTAAATTGAACTGCATTACAGGTATGTCCGGTGTGTGCATCACTACCGGGTGGTGATCCGAACCACGTGACAGATGACTTTGCGAATCACTTGACTGCGGAGCATCGCAGCGGACCTAGAGATTTGATATCTTTCTTAGACGAGCCGACATCTTCTCGGCACGGTCCTCGACGAATACCACACTCTTCTCGTGGTGTTGGTGGTCAGCGAACTAGACGGTATTAACAAGGCTTATTACTCATGATCATGTTTAATCATTTTCACTTAAGACTGCTGTTTTTATTATATTTATATAAATAATTTATTAGCTAAGATAGAAGCATCAATTATTAACACGGGTCCAATAATTAAGACTCTAATTAAAAATTTATTTAATTTTCTAAGGTATTAATAACAATCATAGATTTTTTATGCAATCTTTGGAATTAAAATAATTTTTATAAAATTAATTGTTGGGTTCAATGGAAAATATTTATTGATAAAAGAAAAAAGGTTAGCTCGAGTTTGTTGAAACAACTCCTCAGTGACTGATTCATAACCTATTTTGGTTAGACAACTACTATTTTAAAACCCTCTTTTTTAATTATTTTTTTCATCTATTCACATTAAACTTTGTTTGTTTATAAATAAAATAAATATCAAACAATCAACAATATTATATAATATTTACAATCTATTTAGCGGTTATTAATTTTAAAATAATGGCTCTTAATAATTGGTAGATAAAATATATATATGTTCAGTAGGATCTGTTATTGTTAGGTTAGGTTTAAACAGCGCCTTTAACCTAACTTTTTAGACCCCAACAAAATACGTCAGCAAGCTTTAAAGCAATTTAAAATATACAACATTTTATTTTATTAAATATTCTCTTAATTATTGCTATTACTAATTAAAACTTTATCTTTTTATTTTTATTTAATAAATTTATTTTTAAAATCTTTATGAATTATTTTAATGATAAATAATTAATGAATATTAATTTAATATAGTTGAGTGTATTGTATGGGTGTAAATAATTAGCGCAGGTACCTGTCACTAATTCGATCAGCTGATTGTTGTCAGACTGTCAATAATTGGTGTGTCGTCCGAGCGATTGACTTTATCAATATAAATAAATAATTAAATTAGATAAATTACTATAAAAAAAGCTTGAATTTTCTATTGAAAAAACTAATTAATAAAACCATCTTAATTCTAAATATGGAACAAAAGATTGTAATCCTAGTCTGGTCTTTTACATTGTCAATAATTGGCGCTTTTATCTTATTAATTAATGTTAAAAAAAAAAAACAGAAGTCTACCTCATAAATTCCATTAAAAGATATCTAACCTAAAAATCAAAAAGGGATTTATTGGTGAAAATTTTAAGTATTACTATTTTTTTTTCGTTCTATCTTATAACTGTTTAGTGACGACAGGACCTTCAGGTCCAACATGCTTTTCAGTTCATCCGGAGGACTGAGTCCTAGCAGCCGTGACAGTATAGACCCGATCGCCGAATTATTGTCACAGTTGTCTGGAGTGAGACGTACTGGAGCCAGCACTGGCCAGACTACACAATTACAACAGTTGCAGATGCAACTGCAGTTGGAACGCCAACAAGTCAGGGTAAGAATTTTTCATTAAATTACCATTGAAATAGAGAAATTTTTATCAATAAAAATTAACATATAAATTGAAGAATTATTTATTTGAAGAATATTCTGATAATTTTTTGATTAATAATTTTATTTTTTAAATTAATTATAAAAAATGAAAATTTTAGTGTAAAGACAAGTTATGATTGTGACGTAATTATATTCGTTGCGGTAAGAACAAAAAATGAAAATTAATATCGAATAAATAAAAAAATATGGTTGATGTCGGGTTGAAGAAACAAGACTTATAACTTGTCCGGGTGTAAGTGAAGTATTGTTGTTAAATATCGGTCAGCGTTTATCTGCCCGCGCTTTTTAATAATTATTATTTTTCACAAATAATTGTTTTATTCTTCGTTAAAATATTTTTTTTACTTTTATTTACGTTTATTTATTCATTTAAGAAGACAACATAAACATGGATATAGTTTTAAAACTCTGTAAGATGCTGTTGCGCGCCGGATATAATACTACGTCACTGCCGCTTGAATTTTAAATTAAAAAATAAGTTAATTTAAAAATTACCAGGACAAATAAATTATTTAAATATTTTTGTATTATTTTCTTTTAATCACTTCAGCTAAACTTTTAACAAACAATAAAATTAAAAAATATACAACTTTTTTCTTGAAATTATGTAATAAATTAATCTATTTTTAATTAATTTATATTATTCATATATCAGGCTGCTACGAGACATCAGTTGGAGCGACTGCCCAGAAGACAACCGCAGGCGATTGGTTCTGTCAGCGGTGGAACAAGCGGAACTGGAAGTGCCGCAAGTGGAAGTGGTGCCAGTAGCAGCGCTATTGGCAGCACCAGCGGCAGTGGAAGTGCTGGTGGTAGCGGAATTAGTTCTGGTACTGCTGGTAGTGCTGGTGGGAACCATCATCACTCGACAATGGCAGGTGTCGTTGCTAACAGTTCATCGAGCAATAACAATACGAGTAATGTTAACCCGTCCAGCGGATCGTCTGCCAATTCACAAAACTCTATGTTTTTGTTACCTAGGTAATTTTTTTTTTTTATTTAATTTATCTATTGATTGCTGGGTGTATCTTCAATCGTAGTATTTTACGATGGCATGATTGAAGGTATTAATAGTTATGATAGCCTTGGTTTATTTATTTATAAATAAAATTACTAAGCTGCCAAAAGTAGATGAAATTATTAGTCAATTTTTATTGGCAGCTTTTATTAGTTTTGTGGTTATGTAAAATTATAACCTTAAATTTTATCCCCGATTCAAAAAGATAATTTGAAATGATTACTTTCATGTTAATTGCATATCTATATAGTATTAAAATCAGATGCTTTCAAATTATTTTAAATCGTTTCAAATTAAATTTCTTAATCAGGGATTTATGTAATTTTATTGAATTGTTAGTTGAAATTTTAAATAACTTTATTTTATCTCAGCAATATCAAAATTAATAATTTCACATCGAACTTTTGATAAATAAATATTTTTATATTATGTTTGACACTTGTGGAATACATTGACACTCAAAATCAATGCAACTACCTATTTTTTTCGCTATTTTAGTAGTTATAATAATATTTATCAATAATATGGCATTGGAATTTAAATTTAAAGTTCCTCCACACAAAAATAACAATTTTTAAAATGCATTGACGCTCAAAATCAATGTAATTCAGTTTTTTACAACTTTCAATAATTCCAACAATGTTTTTCAATAAAATCGTCTTAAAAATTCAATAAAAAGTTCCTTTGTAAAATAAATTGTGCGATTGAAGTGCGTTAACTCTCAAAATCAATGTAATACCATTTTTCTTACTATTTTCAGTTTTATTTAAAACATTTATCAGTACTGTAGTCTTTAAATTTCAATCATCAGTTTTTTTTTTTCACAATAAATGCAATTTTTACACTGCATTGGCACTTGAAATCAATATAATCCTATTTGCCGTTTTTTCACGAATTTTCATCTGCAATATAATAATAAAATTTCCTTTACAACGACAATGTTGAATATAACTACATTGCCACTCTAAATCAATGTAACATTATTTTATACACTATTGTGAATTTTGTAATAATATTCATATATAATATTGAAATTTTAATAACAGACCTCTATTACGCTATGTACAAAAACTGCATTGACACTCTAAATCAATGCAATACTATTTTATACATTATTTCAAGTTTGTTTTAAAATATTTTTTAATACAATGATATTATTGAATTTTCAATACCAAGTTTTTTTTATATGGCAAATTTCGTATTTGAACTGCATTGATACTAAAAATCAATGTAATACTATTCTTGATATCATCTTAAGTTTTTTAGAAATATAGTTTAGTACCATTGTATTGAAATTTAGTAATAAAAATCATTCATTAAACTAGTGCTATATTTTCACTAAATTGACGCTATAAATCAATGTATTACAATTTTATACAATACTTTATTTTTTTAATATTCATCTGTAGAACGGTCGGCATGATATCTCAGTAAAAAGTTCCATTTACACTATAAACGCAAATTTTAAATTACATTGACGCTTAAAATCAATGTAATAGTATTTCATACATTCTTTGAAATTTTTTAGAAATATTGTTCAGTATCATGATATTGAAATTTAGTGCAGTGCAACTTGCTTATAAGCTATTTTTTTTTCTCCCTTCTACTTTCATGAAATATTTCATATATAGATGTAACTGCCGTGAGAGTGAGTAGATCATCCGGAGTAACTTATAACCAGGTTGTACTGTAACAAAAATTATTCAATAAATTGTTGCTATATTTTTACTGCAATGACGCTCAATATCAATGCAATACTATTTTGTACACTAATTTAATTTTTTTTTTTTTCAATACTTATCTGTAAAACGGTAATGATATCTTTGTATAAAGTCTCCTTTACACTACAAAGGCAATTTTCCAACTGCATTGATACTAAAAATCAATCTAATACTACTTATTCTTTATATCATTTTAAGTTTTTTAGAAATATTGTTTAGTACCATTGTATTGAAATTTAGTACCAAAATTTATTCAAAAATTAGCTCCATATTTTTACTGCATTGACGCTAAAAATCAATGTAATAAAATTTTTTCTCTAAAAAAATGATTAATTTTTCTTCTTTTTCTTTCAGATGCATTACAACAAGCCTATCAGAAAACCAACTTCATAACATAGAACGTGATAATGCAAATCGTAGTTTATTTGTGCGTGAAATAGTACTTGGAACTCTCAGTCACACGGTAACCGAATTAACAGAACAATTAGAAAAACAGCAGCTCGAGTTAGAGTCACAGACGGCATTAGAAGCGCTAAAAAAGTTGCTGAGAACTTCGACAACGAGTGAAGAAACTTGCACCACAACCTTAAGTGACTCTGCTGAAAGTAATAAAGACAAAGACAAGGACAAGGACGACAAACCTCTAGAAGAGAACCAGTCTTGTCATTCACCGCCATCTGTGCCAGAAGCTCCCAGGGAACCCCAGGAACCTGTCACTTCAGCGCCACCTGGACAAGCTTCACCACAAACACAATCCCAGTATACAGTAGCCTCAAATACGCATACCACTGCTACCAGCAGCCTCGCTACCAACTTGCAAACCCAAGCTGGACTTCCATCAGCTAATATTCAGACAATTATGCACAGCGTCTTACCTCCTCCGCCGTTGGTGAGTTTTTTCCTCATTAATTTACAAGAATTTAGGTAAAAGCGCCAATTATTGACAATCTAAAAGACCTGACTAAGATTACAATCTTTTGTTCCATATTTAGAATTAAGATGGTTTTATTAATTAGTTTTTTCAATAGAAAATTCAAGCTTTTTTTATAGTAATTTATCTAATTTAATTATTTATTTATATTGATAAAATCAATCACTCGGACGACACACCAATTATTGACAGTCTGACAACAATCAGCTGATCGAATTAGTGACAGGTACCTGCGCTAATTATTTACACCCATACAATATACTCAACTATATTAAATTAATATTCATTAATTATTTATCATTAAAATAATTCATAAAGATTTTAAAAATAAATTTATTAAATAAAAATAAAAAGATAAAGTTTTAATTAGTAATAGCAATAATTAAGAGTATATTTAATAAAATAAAATGTTGTATATTTTAAGTTGCTTTAAAGCTTGCTGACGTATTTTGTTGGGGTCTAAAAAGTTAGGTTAAAGGCGCTGTTTAAACCTAACCTAACAATAACAGATCCTACTGAACATATATATATTTTATCTACCAATTATTAAGAGCCATTATTTTAAAATTAATAACCATTAAATAGATTGTAAATATTATATTATATTGTTGATTGTTCGATATTTATTTTATTTATAAACAAACAAAGTTTAATGTGATTAGATAAAAAAAATAATTAAAAAAGAGGGTTTTAAAATAGTAGTTGTCTAACCAAAATAGGTTATGAATCAGACACTAAGGAGTTGTTTCAACAAACTCGAGCTAACCTTTTTTCTTTTATCAATAAATATTTTCCATTTAACCCAACAATTAATTTTATAAAAATTATATTAATTCCAAAGATTGCATAAATAATTACGATTGTTATTAAGGAGGGTCGAGCGAATCTAATGTGAAAAATAATTTCCAACTTTTAACTTTGAAATTAAGTATACGTATGAATAAATACGTAATTTATCTAATCCCAAAATTTTAAAAAGATTCACCGTTTAGTTACATAGATACTAAATTTCAAAAATCACATTTTTTATCTCCTTATACACGGGTTCTTATGGCGGACAAACTTTAGTCGAGACTAATTATTTTTTTCAATATTAACCTCCCAACTTTAACGAATAAAAAACTATACACAAGAAATTTGGATAATTGCAAGATATAAAAACAATTTAATAATAATACATTACCGATATAATTTTTGAAATAAGGTAAAGTACCAAGTAGTTGAACAGGTTTCAAAGTAAAACGTATTTGACCCTACTTTTAATATATAAAGAGGTAATTATTAGTTCAAATTAGTGATTTTCATGAAAATATAAACAATTTTGAATTGATTGAAGTGCAAAATAACGCAAATAATTGAATATTTATAATTTGACAACGTTTTTAAGATAGACTATGAAAGGAGTAGTAGTTGAACAATCAATTCTGACAAGCCGCAGTAGTTGAACACTCTGGGAGCAGTAGTTGAACTAATTAAATATATGGCAATAGGCACACCAAAATTTTTTAACGTTTAATTGAAATATTCAAAGATTTATAACATATTATTGAATAATATTAAAAATAATACTGTGGATATTCAATATGTTCATTAAAAAATGAGAAATATTTGTATTTAATTTTTTAATTACATTTTTTATGAATGACAAAGTAAATTTTCAATTATAAATCAAAAAAACTCAATTCAAGACGTTCAATTATTTTTAACTATACTAATTTTTAGTTATAAAACTTATTTAATTTGCAGTAATTAATACAAATCACAATACTGATCACTAGTCTATGAACCTATTAAAGGTTAGAGTGCTGTTAAAATTATACGGCCCCAGCTTGTTCAAGTTTTGGGTACCACTTTGAAAATTGGGAGGTATAGTTGAACGCTAAAATCTAATATAAAAATTATAGTTTATGTCTTTGCAAAAAATATGTATTATTTAGAAAAGACTATTTCATTGGGTGGTACAATTTTTTTCACTTAAAATGATGATATACCGTTTTTTTTACTGATTGTTCGGTTTACGGTTTAGTACCTTTTTCATGAAAAAAATAGCATCTATCGGCGATTCTCGACATGTCAACTTTAAAGTTAACAAAAATGTAATTGTTTTGATTTATAATTGAAAAAACTTACCAAAATCAATTACTATATCATTGAATAATTATAACATGCGCATATGACTCATAATATACATACAGATTTTGTATTACAGCAATTCTAAAAGTCTGTTCAACTACTGGTCCCATTTTTAGAAGTGTTCAAGTACTGGGTACTTTACCTTACCTTTATTTAAAGTTTAATTTTATGTTTTTGACTCGTTTATCGTCAGCTATATATTCGAATAAAGATTTGGCAACGTCGCGTCAACAGCTGAGAAAAGAGAAAAGGATAGAAATATAGTTACAGAAAGAGAGAATTATTTAACTCGCACACTCATCCACGTCTCTGTATGGGTATAATCAAACGCGCTGTTGCCAAATCTGTTTATTTACTCCGGCAAGTAATAAATACCAAAGTCATTTTATTACTTTATTTTATTAAATAAGTAAAAATCATCAATTATTAAATTGTTCGAATTGTTTTAAATTTAAATTAAGAATTTTGACGAATATTGGGAAGACTGAAAGTAAAAAAAAATTTAAACATTACTTTGACTCATAAGTTACACTCGAATCTCCTTAATAATTGGACCCATGTCAATAATTGGTGCTTCTACCTTAATCAATTTTGTTTAATTAATATATATTATTATTATTAATGATAATTATGAATGTAATCATAAAATATAACATACATAACCTAACCAGGTACTGCAGCAACCACTGCCGCCATTACCGCCAACCCGTAACACGGGAACCGGAACGATCCGAGAGTCCTCGACAACAATCGCCGGCTCGCAGCCGCCATACTTAACCACTCGAGGTGTTAACGTTACCAGCGGCGTTAACTCCGTCAATGTGACAAATTCTTCTCGGCGAAAACCCGTCCGGTCCGTCGACGGGCGGAACCAGTCAACGGAACCCCCGCCACCCCACTAACGTCTAGAATAATTATCTACTAATAATTATCTAAACAACAAATAATTAACGCTTTATTCATTTATATTATACACTGTTTTTCTTTCTTCATTATTTTTCTTTATTATTTTTATTTCTTCATTGAGTGTCGGCCCATAAAGGAAAATTTTTTAAAAATTTATCCATTCAATAATTAAACAAACTTTTATCCTTAGCACTAGTCCTAGCGCTGTTTAGAACACTTCATCATTGTTGTTAATTATTATTATTATTATTATTATTATTATTATTAATATATATATATATAATTTTATCGCGCTAAGAATTTTTTAACAAACTTGTCTTTTTACGCAGAATAATTATTTTAAACTGCATTGATACTCAAAATCAATGCATTATTTTTTAATTGATATCTTTTGATCTATCCACCCGATTTTCATGAAATTTTAATATGTCTTTAAAATTAAATCCTATTATTATTATCATTATTATTATTATTAATATTGTAATTTGCGTCTGCATGAATAAATAAAAACTAAAAACAGAAAAAAAAATAGAAAAAAAGTCTGCAAATTATAAAATTGCATTTAGAAATAATGGAGATTTAAACAACAAAAAAAAACACTAGTTTTAATAAATTGTAATGTTAATTATAATTATAAGAACAATAGTTAATTATTATATAATTATAATTGATTAAGTAGGACATACATAGATGTTTTGTTTTGTTATCGTTATGATAATAATAAATGTAAATAAAATATAGGTAATTAAATTAATAATAGACTAGCTAATTAATTTGGTGATTAACTGGATTAATTAAATAGGCGTCGGTGTGTTTAAGTTTACCAAAAAAAAAAAAACTATTGCTGGTATAAATTGTTCAATTAAAACTGAATAAAATGTGTGTGTTTTATAAATTTATAAAATTTATAATTATAGCAAACAAAGTATATATATAATATCTCAGTGATGTCATGATTAATCCAGTGTCTTGAATTGAGGAAAGCTTTATGCGACAATTATTTAACTTGGTAAATTTAATAAATAATCGATTAAAAATAATAAAGATAAAAATATAAATCTAAACATATTTATAAATAATATATCTTATTTTTTTTCTTTTTTTTTTTTTTTTGGTTGATTTTACGCGCTATTTATTAATTTTCTTTTGTTACACTAATCTTATAAGTATTTATAGACGTGTGAATGATTAATTGGTAATAATAAGTTGGTAACGTTGTTACTAATATAATAATTACTATATTATTATTATATTTCAAAATAACAAAATAAATTGATGAATTTTAAAAAATAAATATCGACAGCGTTGTCATTTTTTCATTAGATTTGTGTGTAAGCTAATATTTTATTTTTTATTTTTCTAAGTTTAAATAATAACTCATAAAATTTTGTTTTATTTTTCAGCTGAAATAAGGGAGCTGGAGAAAATAATGAAGTAAAAGTTTTATGGAACAATTATAGTCAAATTTGTTATTTACCATAACAACAACTTCAACAACAACACCAGATTATTATTTAATGATCTACAGTGATTATTTCGAGTTTAAAACACTCGTATAATTATAATTGTTATTATAAATATGTAAAGTTCACTCGAAAATATATTATAACCTGGTAATTGTATATTACTTTTTTATTTATTTATTTAAGTTTATTTTACCTCTCTTTGGCTCAAGGTTATTATTATTACTTTATGTTGTATTTCAGTCCAAATAACATATCAAAATTTCAAATAAATCGGATAATTAATTTCTGAAATATCGCAAAAAAATTAACTGCATTGACTGTGAGTGTCAATGCGGTATAAATGACATTTATTTTACAGAAGCGATTTTAATTAAAAATTTGACCCGATATTACTAACAAACATTACGAATTGCAACATTTATTTAAAGTAGTGCATTGATTGTGAACGTCAATACAGTTCAGAATCGACATTTATCGTACGCGGACACTTTCAATTCAAATTATAATACAATATTACTAACAAAAGTTACTAACTGAAATTTATTAAGACTATTGCATTGATATTGAGGATCAATGCGGTCTAAAAATGCAATTTCTTCGGAATAATTTTTTTTATTTATTTAAAAAGCAAAATGTCTTTTAAAAATGTTATGCGTTGAAACTAGTGTTTTTTCATGAAATTTATGTGTAAATATTATTCTATAAGTGCGATAGAAAATAAATAGACAATAATTTTAGTTCAAAAAATCTTGATTTTTGTAAGGCGAGAGTAGAGCACTACCTCATCCGCTTCGCTTATGAGGCGTGCAATAGAAAATTATTTTTTAATAGAGAAGTTATATTGATTTTATATAAATTAAAGAATTAATATAAGATAATAAATTTCTTTCATTTTTGATGAATTAACCTCAATTGGAACAAACTAATAATAATATTTCTTCTTAATAGAAAACTTGCGTTAAATTTTTATCAATAAAAATTTATATTATAAATTGAAGAATTATTTATTGGAAGAATATTCTGATAATTTTTTGATCAACAATTTTATTTTTTTAATTAATTATAAAAAATGAAAATTTTAATGAAAATGAAGTTAGCCGACATTTCAAAATTTTTTTTTGAAAAAAATTTAATTAAAAAAAAATTGTCACATGTAAAAAACTTAAAAAATTATAAGTGCAATTTTTTATAGATATCTTTTTAGTTGTAATTTAATTATTAAAAAAAATCAAAAAATTTTTCTAACTTCAGTGTCATAAATTTTAGTGTAAAGACAAGCTATGGATTGGCTGTGACGTAATTATGTTATGAAAATAAAGTTAGCCGACATCTAAAAATTTTTAGAATTTTTTTTATTAAAAAAATGATTACAAAAAATTAAAAAAAAAATTCATTTTTAAAAAACTTTAAAAACTATAAGTGCAATTTAAAAAAAATATTATTTAGTTCTAATTAAATAATTAAAAAAAAACTCAAAAAATTAACAATGTCGACTAACTTTAGTATTATAATTATGTAGGTCACTTAAATTAATGAAGCACTAAATTTAAAACTTGAAAACCTCCCGCTAAATATTCGCGCTTGCGCACCAGCCGCCACTCACCAACTGCGTCCTGCGCAGAAACTGTACAAGAATTACCTGTAGCAGTAACCAGTCACCTTTCTCTGGTCTCCGAGCCATTACTCCCGTGAGTCATCCGCTCAAAAATTTATTTGTAGGGGTGGGAAAAAAAAATTAATCACTGTTTTTTCTTCCAAGCATTCAACAGTCAACATAGTATAGTACACTACAATACAAGCACTATACTAGAATACTACTAAATACCTTCAGCACAGCACACTCATTCTCCCTCTCTCCAACTACCAGCATTCCTCCATCTTTGTCTCCATTATATGTACCATGCCAACCAGCAAGTACAGTAAGCAGAGCGCCGACCAGTTGTATTTGTATGGTGTAGTCGGTATCATCATCATCATCATATAGAGTATGACTACTACTCCTTACTATTACTATTACTATCTGCCTACTGGATTAATTAAAAAAATTAAACAGTGATAAGTGACGAGTGGAGATTTAAGTTTTAAGAGCAAGACAGCCGTCACAAGTTTTTGTTTTAGTTTTTTAGTTTCTCTTAAATATAAACGGGCGTCGTCGGCCGTCGTTGTCCGTTGTCATACTTGAATCCGTGCCTTGCCTCGCGTCATTCGATTGGCGTCGCGTGTTCTATAGTCACATATTCGCGGAATATATATTAAATTAAATATATATATATATATATATATATATATATATATATAAATGTATGTGAAGTGTTGTAAATTTTTATTGAAGTGAGATTGAGAACGTTCAAAGACTCATTCAGGTTTTATTGATGAGTCGTGTCAGATTATTGATAAATTTTTTTTTTATAAATAATTTTTTTTTTTTAATTAATTTTTTATAAAAATTAAAATAAAAAAAAAAATTTGAAGAATTCTCAAGTGACAGTTGGGTGTGTATAAAATTTAACAAGTGGTTTTATTATTATTATTGTTGTTTTTAATTGAATTTTTTTTTTTTTTTTTTTTATAGACTTGTCAATTAATAAGTAACATTTTTACAGACTTACTTACACCCAGAATGGAAAGGACCTTACCTAGGACCCAAACCCTCTGAAGAATGCAAGCGCGACTTTTCTGAAGAAACTTTACGCGCTGGACAGACAATCGTTGGATTACAAGCTGGATCAAACAAAGGCGCTAGCCAAGCTGGACAAAACATGGGTGCTGGACGTAAAATCATTCTCGGAAAGTAAAGACAATAGTATTTATGTGTAATGCCTTCATTTTTGTCTCTAAAATGATCAATGTTTTATTTATTTAAATTTTTATATAATTAAATCAATATATATTTATTCTGTTGTTACTTTTATTTTTCCTTCCTCTTATTTTTTAGTTAAATATTGAAAATTACTTTGGTAAACTTAAAGGTTTTTTTTTAAATAATTATTAAGTAATAATAATAAAATATTAATTATTGTTTACATTTATTTTAAAGCAACAAAGTAACATGTTTAAGTGACACTATAAAATCTAAAAATAAAAATATGTCGCACGAATGTAATTTGTCAGTAACATAAAGAAGATGATATACCTAGCGTTGTCTGACAACTAAACATAGTTGCTATTTCTACATCAATTTAAAATTATTTTTAATTTTTTTATCTTGGATTTAACATTTTATAATTTATATCATTGTAATTATAGGTAAAATGGAATAAAAGAGGTAATTGTGTTAATAGTTAATAATGAATGACAACTTCCGCACTTGGGATTTGGATAACAACCTAAGAAAATATTATTTAAATCAATATCCGATGGATAATAAGTTTATTGGTCTTAAACAGACAGTTAATTGATTGATTACATTACTCGGTTGCTAAATTTATGATTTCTCTTAGATTCGAATTCTCTAAATAATTCAACTTCGGAGAATAGATTAGAATGAATAATTATTAAGCGGCACGCGAACACCGGATACATATTTTTTT